TTGTTTTGGCGAAAACCTATGCACAAACCCTAAACCCTAAACCCTAAGTTCGCCAGTTTTGTTTTCGGTGAAAAAGTAGACAGAACCCTAAGCCCTAAACCCTAAACCCTCAAAGCCCAGCTTTTGTTTTCGGTGAAACGCCACACAAACCCTAAACCCTAAACCCTAAACCCTACTGTCGAAACTTTCACTTTTGGTCAAATATCAACTTAACCCTAAACCCTAAACCCTCAAGTCAATACTTTTGCCTTCGGTGAAAGTGCACACAAAACTCTAAACCCTAAACCCCAAACCCTGAATTTAACATTTTTGTTTGTGGTGAAAAGCCACACAAAACTCTAAACCCTAAACCCTAAATCCAACGCTTTTGTTCATGGAAAAAAGCCACACAAAACCCTAAACCCTAAACTCTAAACCCTAAATTTAACACTTCTTTTCGTGAAAAGCCACACACAAACCCTAAACCCTAAACTCTACACTCTAAAGACAACACCTTTCTTTTTGGTGCAAAGAGCAGAGACAAACCCTAAACCCTAAACCCTAAACCCTAAAGTCAACTCATTTTTTATGGATCTCAAAAAGGACAATATCAGCGTCCACAAACCCTAAACCCTAAACCCTAAACCCTCAACCCTAGGCTATAAGGAGAAGCCACTACAGGCAAAAATGTACTAATTAGGGTTTGGAATTTGTACCTCGCTTTGGCACGGCGGAGGATGCTGCCCTGGCAGTTCAGGGCTTAGGGTTTAGGGTTTAGGGTTTGGGGTTTAGGGTTTAGGGTTTAGGGTTTGGGAACTGTTTTGTGGCTGCGGGCAGACCTGGATGAGACGCTGGTGTTTTGCGGGTTTGAAAAAGGAGTAAACCCTCCAGATCATGTTCTTCACTTTTCTTCGCCAAAAGTGCTCGTAAACCCTAAACCCTAAACCCTAAACCCTAAACCCTAGGCTCTCAAAGCTCTCGTTGTGCAAACAGCTCCCCCGCTAGCCACCAATCCAGACAGATCCTAAACCCTAAACCCTAGGCTCTAGAGGCCCAGGCCCTTCACCAAAACGGGAACTGCCTCTGGACTCCAAACCCTAAACCCTAACCCCTAAACCCTAAACCCTAAACCCTAATTTTTGAGTTGTTCTCTGATCCTGCGTTTCTGCGTGCAGTCTTGCCAAGTAGTAAGGCGATGCAAAGAAACAAGAGCAAAGAAACCTTTAGCCCTAAACCCTTAACCCTAAACCCTAAACCCTAAACCCTAAAGAAAAGGTGTAAAGTGCAAATGCAGCGTTTGAAGGGTTTCGGGGTGCCTCTAGACTGTTTTTTTCTCTCCTTTGATATTAATTAGCTGCTGCTGCCGCTTGCTGCTGCTTCCGTTGCTGCTGCTGCTGCTGCTTGCTGCTGCTTCTGCTGCTGCTGCTGGCGCGTGCTGCTGCTTCAGGCGCTGCTGCTGGCGCTTGCTGCTGCTGCCGCTTGCTGCTGCTGGCACTTGCCGCCGCAGCAGGCGCTGGGGCTGGCGCTTGCTGCTGCTGCTGCAGTGGCTTGCTGCTGCCTCAGCTGCTGCTGCTGGCGCTTGCTGCGGCCTCAGGTGTACGTACACGTCAGGCCCAATGCTGCTGCGCTGCTGAAGGCAGCAGCAGAAATTGGCGAAGTGGTTTTGTTCACTGCGAGTTCCAAGACCTACGCTGACAAGGTGTCTGTACACCTCAAGAAGGCCACTAAACTGGCATTTTGCCAATTAATTCGTTTATTAATTCATTTATTTATTCATCTTCTTCCACATTTATAATTTCTCTTCATTTATTCACTCCTTGTCCCATTTATTGGCTCATTAATTCCTCTCTTTGCCACCGACTTCGGGTGTCTGTACACCCCAAGCAACAACAGAAGCTGGGAATAAATGCTGGCGGATCCATTTCGAATTAATTAATTTAAATTGACTATTAATATTTCATTAGTGCAGAATTTGTTTTAAAGAATAAAGTTGTTTGCAGAATTAAAATTGGGTTGCAGGGAGCCGAGCTGTCTGTACACCGCAGGCGGAGGAAAGCTGCCTATACACCCCAAATGCGGCATTTTGCAACTTCGTTTATTTCGGAATTTAAGAAAAGAAATAATAAAATGGAATTATAAAAATAATAAAATGGTTCTTTCGAAAAGAAAAGAAATAATAAAATGGAATTATAAAAATAATAAAATGGTTCTTTCGATTCGCTTTTGTTGATTCGCTTTTGTTGGATGCCGCTGCTGCGAGGTGTCTGTACACCTGAATTTAATTCTTTTTAATTCTTTTGCTGCCAATAAAGTGCCATTTATTTCTTTTATTTGTTCAACTTTGTGTTCACTTATTTCGTTTCTTCTCTCCCTTTGACTACTTGGCTTATTTCCAACAAATCACTCCCACCTCCCCCCAAACCCTAAACCCTAAACCCTAAACCCTAAACCCTAAACCCAAACCAGCTCCCAACCCCCCCTCCAGCGCGACCCGCGAACCCCCCGCAGCCCCCCACCGGGT